TACTAGTACGACGACGACGACGACTACGACTACTATTACAACTACCGCTACTACTGCCTACATCCACTCTACCTGCTGCCTGCTACCTGCTACCTATTTCTACGACTACTACTACTATTACTGCTACTAGAACTACTACTACTACTACTACTACTACTACTGCTACTACTACTACTACTACTACTACAACAACGACTACTACGACTACTACGACGACGACGACTACTACTACCACTACGGCGACTACTGCTACTACTACTACTACTACTACTACCACTACTACTTCTACTACTACTACTACTACTACTACTACTACTACTACTACTACTACTACTACGACTGCTACCACTACGACTACCACTACTACTATTACTACTGCTACTACTTCTACTACTACTACTACTACTACTACTACTACTACTACTGCTGCTGCTGCTGCTGCTGCTGCTGCTGCTGCTGCTGCTGCTGCTGCTGCTACTGCGACTACGACTACGACTACGACGGCGACGACGACGACTACTACTACTACTACTGCTACTACTACTTCTACTACGTCTACTACTACCACCACTGCTACTACTACTACTACTACTACTACTACTACTACTACTACTACTACTACTACTATCAGTTTACTACGATACAACTAATACTACTACTACTACTACTCTACTACTACTACTACTAATCCACTACTACTACTATACTTACTATACTAATACTACTACGGACTAGGACTACTACTGCGAAGTTTCTGACAACTACTACTACTGACTTTATCTACTAATACTACGACTACTGCTGCGGCTGCTACTACTACTAATACTACAACGACTACGAATACGACTACGACTACGACTACGCTACGACTACGACTACGACTACTACTATACTACATATACTACTACTACTACTTCACTACTACTACTACTACTACTACGACTACGACTACGCTATTAGAACTACTACACTACTACTACTAACTACTATACTATACTACTACTACTACTACTATACTACTACTTACTACTACTACTACTACTACTACTTACTACTACTACTACTCCTCTACTACTATTACTACTACTACTACTAGTTACTACTACTACTACCACTACTACTACTACTACTACTACTACTACTACTACTACTACTACCACCACCACCACCACCACCACCACCACCACCACCACCACCACAACCACCACCACCACCACCACCACCACCAACACCACCACCACCAACACCACTCCTACGACTACTACGGCTTGCCCCCATCCCCTGCCCCCTGCCGCCCCCCCGCCCCCAGGAGAGCCCGATAATCGAATCGGTAGGCCGGATCGGATCGGAGGAATCGAATCGACTCGGATAGAATCGCTGAGTCGAGTCGAATCGGAGCAGAGGAGTCGAGATGAGCCTCCCTCCTCCTCCTCCTCCTCCCCCTCCCCCTCCTCCTCCTCCTCCCTCCTCCTCCTCCTCCTCCTCCTCCTCCTCACCCTCCTCCTCCCCCTCCTCCCCCCTCCTCCTCCCCTCCTCCTCGTCCTCCTCCTCCTCCCTCCTTCTCCTCCCCTTCCTCCTCCCCTCCTCCTCCTCCTCCTCCTCCTCCTCCCTCCTCCTGCCCCTCCTCCTCTCCTCCTCCTTCTCCTCCTCCTCCTCCTCCTCCTCCTCCTCCTCCTCCTCCCCCTCCTCCGCAGGAGATGATGGCGCACCGTGAAAAAATCTGGGGTGGTTTTTGGACTGCCAGCCCAAGCCAGATTCGACAGTTGAATGGGGCCTTGGATGAGCTTCGTGGTTGTGCGCTTGATTTGGTGCCCGAACTTCCTGAGATCACCACTCGGGACCTCCACCTTGCTGCTAGGGTCTTTTCTGAGACCACTGCGGTTGGAGTTGACGGATGGAGACCTCGGGATTTTCTGGACTTGGAGTCTGGTGCTGCCGAAGCCCTTGTCGGGCTCTTGAATGATTGTGAAGCCAATATGATGTGGCCTGCCCAGACCCTCCTTAGTATCATTTGCCTGCTGCCTAAAAGCAAGGTTGATGAGCGTCCTGTTTGCAAGTGCCCCACCCTCTACCGCATCTACTGTAAGGTTCGCGGGGACTTCTTGGGGGCCTGGACCCAGGGTCATGTTGACTTTTGGGATGACGCCATCAGGGGCAGTTCCGCCCTGCAAGCTGCGCTTCGCCGAGAGCTGTCCCACGAGGTGGCCGCTTTCCAAGAAGTCTCCAGCGTTGCGATCCATTGGGATCTCAAGAAATTATTTGATACCGTTATCCCTGCTAGGCTTGTTCGTTTCGCCACTGATTTGAAGTTCCCACCGCACCTCCTGTACCTGGGCCTCCTCGTGCACGTGGCCCCCAGGATGCTCGAGAGTAGCGGCTGTTGCTCCCAGGTCATACCTGCTGGGATTGGCGTTCTCCCTGGATGTATGCAGTCCATGTCCTGGGTCAAGGTGTACTTATATCAGATTTTGAATGATGTGCTTAATCGGTATTTCTTTGGGAATCCTAGTGTGTCTACCAGGTCTTACGTTGACGACATATCCCAGGTGTGCCAGGGAGCTGAAGACCAGGTACGACGGCAGATTGTCGCCGCAGCAGTTCAGCTAGGTCAAATGGTCAATGCAGCCGAGCTTGTTTTATCTAATAAGTCTGCGGTTGTCGCGAACCGACGACCTCTTGCACTTCTTGTCGCTACTGATTTGAAAGCAGCAGGCCTTTCTGTCAGAGTTGAAGATGTTACTCGTGATTTGGGGACGGCCACCACGGCAGGAAGGAGGAGGACTGCTGCCATCGTGCGTGCCAGGCGGCGGAAGGCCGCTGCTCGAGGCAAGAAGGTGCGCTACTTGACTACGTTGGTCAAGAAATCTTCTAAGCTCTATAAGCCAGGTGTGCTTGCCGTTGGCACCTGGGGCCACAATGTTGCTGGCCTCTCTGGGGCCCAAGTGCAGAGCGCGCGAGGGCAGGCCGCCGTCTGCTCTGGCCACTGGCATGCTGGAGCTTGCTCTACCACTATCCTGAGCGTTTTCGGGGCCGAGAAGAGTGACCCTATTTATCGTCTGCGGCGTGAACAGTTATCTGGTTTTGTAACGCTTTGGAAATCCCTTAGTGACAAGGAGAAGCTCCGTGTTTCCCAGGTCTGGCAGGCTAGGTTTCAGGAGTTCGTCAGTATTCCAAGGAACCAAGTTTGGAAACGGGTCCGTGGGCCGATCGCCGCCACTGTTGCAGTTTTGCTCGACCTGGGCTGGTGCCCATTGTACCCCGTGCACTGGCGTGACAATTTCGGCAACGACCTTCACACAGAAGCCTTGGATTTTGCAGTGACACTGCGACGAGCTGTCAAGGCCACTTGCAGTGGCCTGGTCTGGAGCCAGGCTGCCAAACATTACCATGGGTATGGGATCTCGTCTGGAGTGGATTTCACGGTCCTCAGGCAAGAGATCACTCGATTGGGTAAAGATTTTGATTCCGAGGGTCAAGCTTTGCTTTGGAACCTTTGTTCTGCTGGTTTTTGGACTGACCAGAGGTTGCATGACGAAGGATACCGCACGGGTTCTAATGGTTTATGCCCGCGCTGTGGGGAGGTTAGCGAGACCCCCTTTCACAGATTTTGGGACTGCAGGTGTAATGATTCCATCCCAGATCCAGTTGTCGAGCGTACAGCTCACCTCCGCGAGCAAGCTGCTCGTGACGTTGATTGCCCTGCCCTCTGGTGTCGGGGCCTTATGCCTCTAGACAGGACGGTCGGACATCTTCCGATCGCGAATGAAAGTGCCATCGGTTGGGGATCGCTCGAAGGGCTGCCTGTCTGCCAAGGGGGCGTTTGGGGAATCGATGGATCGGGGGGGGAGCACGCTAAGGATGAGAGACTAAGGCGTTGTGGTTGGGCCTGTGTCAGATTAGGTGCTACCCTGGACAACATCGATGGGGGCATCGCGGGAACCATGGGAGGTGAACAGTCGACCCCGCGTGCTGAACTTCTTGCTTTGATTTATGTTTGTCAATATACTTATGGGCGTGTCTTGGTTTTCAGTGACTATTACCCTGTTGTTCGTGCTTTCCGACGTCCACGGGCCTTGATGGCCAATTCTGGAATGCTGGACCTCTGGGTTCGCCTTTGGGATGTCCTTGATGCCCGAGATGGAGAAATCGACCTCCGCTGGACCAAGAGTCACCCCACAGGCCCCCAGGTCAGCGCCCTCTGCCTCACGTCGATTGAGCTGCTCTTGAATGGAGCTGCCGACGCATGTGCTGGAGAGATGGCCCGTCGCGCGGCCGTTCCCCAGGATTTGGCGGCCATCACTTTTGAGCAGGATAATTTGAATAGGGACGTCATTCGCAGGCTTCTGGCCATCCAGCGTGAAGTTGTCGTGCAGCACCCGCGCGAGCGCACGCAGCACGCGCGCGTTGGGCATGAGCATGTGCGTGCGCGCGCTGGTTCGAGTGCACAGATCAGACGTGCTCGTCTTGAAGAGCAGGGCCACTCGCCTGTTGAGCGCAGGACCCTGTTCAAGTGTAGTATCTGTGCTGCCCGGTTTTGCAAGAAGGGGCCACTGTCTGTTTTTTGGCCAGGCCCCTGCAATGCTGGGAGGTTCGCCCAGTACCGTGTGCCGCGTGAGGGTGAGGATTTTGTTTTGGGCCCAGGGGCCGCGCCTTTTGGGCCTGCTGGGCATCCAATGGCCATCCATTGCCACGAGACCCATTCCTTATCTGAGTTGAATGGCATTTTGTTCTGCACTGTGTGTGGAAGTTTCGCAGTCACAAGTGCCCGCAACTTGAAAAGCGAGTGCAGGCCTCCGACCAGGAAAGGTTTGGAGGCTTTGGGCCGACTGCAGAGGGGGCTCCCGCCTAAGTCGGGAATGAGCTTCCCTCGGTGATTGTGGTGGGGCGGCCAGGCTAGCACCTGGGCACCGCGCTTCCGCCATAGCGCCATAGCCCCTCCTCCTCCCCCTCCTCCTCCCCCTCCTCGCGTCCTCCCCCCCGGGCGGCCCCCCGCCGCCCTCCCGCGGGGCGGGGCTCGGCAGTGCGGGTACGCCCTCCGCGAGCAGCGGCGACTCCAGCAGGTTGCAGCCTACCGGGGGGCCGGGACGGAGCAGGCGGGATGCAGGAGGAGGAGGAGGAGGAGGAGGAGGAGGAGGAGGAAGAGGAGGAGGAGGAGGAGGAGGAGGAGGAGGAGGAGGCGGCGCAGGAGGAGGCGGCAAGGTTCAGGAGGAGGCAGGATGCACGAGAGGGGGGGCGGAGGAGGAGGAGGAGGAGAAGGAGGAGGAGGAGGATGAGGAGGAGGATGAGGAGGAGGAGGAGGAGCAGGAGGAGGACCAGTGTAAACCCAAGACCCATGAACGCTGTTGCAAAACACCCTCCCTCCAAGATCCCTCTTCACAGGCCCCTACAAAATGTCATTTCCACTGAAAGATGTTTCCCCCCGTTGCGGGACAACCGTGTGAACATCCTGAAGCGTGCCAAGACGCCATTCTCAGAACTTCTACGCCACGAGTTCACCTGACTTGGCGACCCAAAGCCGTGCCATCGTACTATTCCTGGGACTCCAACACCGCGAATCAACGTAACGATTGCTCCCTGACAGTCCAGAACCGCTCCCATACGCCATTTCTGGCACGTTGACCATGAGAACCAATGACATTCTTGCAACGCTGCAGAACGAATGTGCGCGGCGCTAGAGCGAGAACCACATGTTAGACACGACCCGCCCTCCATCCGCGAAGCTCTTGCAAGTACACCCAAGTACACCCTGCGAAATGCTTAAGAAATCATGGGTTAAGAAATTCATAGTCTCAGAATTTGAATAAAAACCCAGAATTTCGATTGAAATCTTAGGATTTACATTGAAACATTAAGAATAATCGAGACTCTGGCCGAAAACTTGGGTTTTCTTAAGCATCGCCTAGAGTGTATTCGAAGCGACTCTGCGCGGCGCTCCGGCGAGAGCCGCACGTTCAAGACGGGCCGCACCGGATCCCTGACGCTCTTGCAACTTCGGCACCGGGTGTGCGCGGTGCTAAAAGGGAAAACCACGTGTGGAAAACGATCCGCCCTCGATCCATGAAGCTCTTGCACGGTGTCAGACGAGCGTGCGCGGCGCGGCGGCGCGAACCGCATTTTGACCACGAGCCGCCCCCCATCCGCGAAGCTCTTGCTAATATTTGCAACGCATGTGCGCGGCGCTGAAGCGAGAACCACATTTTGAAAACGAGCCGCCCTCGATACGTGAAGCTCTTGCAATCTGTTCGAGCGAATGTGCGCGGCGCTAAAAAGGAGAGCCACAATTTGAAAAGAACCAGTCCCCAATCCGTGAAACTATTGCAAAAAGTTAGAGCGAATGTGCGCGGCGCTAAGACGAGAACCACATGTTTGAAACCAACCACCCTCAATCCGCGAAACTCTTGCACTTTGTTAAGCGGATGTGCGCGGCGCTAAGGCGAGAATCACGGTTTGAAAACCACCCACCTTCCATGTGTGTAAGTGTTACCGATGTTAAGCATCAAAATCACAAATGATGAGGAAGTCTGAGGCGAAACGCCCGGCCCGCACTTTCGACCGGCCTCGGGGTGCGACAGGGAGGAGTTATAAGGAAAAGGAATGAAAGAGGAGGAGGGGGGGAGGGGGAGGAGGAGGAGAAGGAGGAGGAGGAGGAGGAGGAGGAGGAGGATGGACGAGGAGGATGCAGGACGAGAAGGATGAAGAGGAGGCAGGATGCAGGAGGAGGCGGAGGATGAGGAGGATCGATGACCCTCCGAACGTGTGATGGGCGCCTACATGTGCTTGTCCACCGAGGCCCTCTGGTACGACGCAGGCGGCATTGTGAAGGCCAGCGCATGCTGCGTGCGATCGGCAGAGCCGAACGGGATACATGTGCATTTGGCTAACACGCGTCTTGAGGATCATCCGGAGGAGGAGGAGGACGTAGGAGGTAGCAGGAGGAACAGCAGCAGCAGCATGAGGAGGTAGGACGAGGAGATAGGAGGAGGAAGTGGAGGAGTAAGAGGAGGAGGAGTAGAGAGGAAGAGCTGACACTGCGGAGATAGGAGAACAATGATGATAATGATGATGATGATGATGATGATGATGATGATGATGATGATGATGATGATGATGATGATGAGGAAGAGGAGGAGGAGGAGGAGGAGGAGGAGGAGGAGGAGGAGGAAGAGGACCGAGATTCAACTATCGAGGAACGCTACCCTCCCCGCCGTTATTGCTTCGCCACTTGGGGGGCCTCCAGAGACGTCCGGACGACCCCGGCGACCTCAGGAGGTCTCCGCGGACCTCCGATGAGGATGCTGACGCTGATGATGATGATGATGATGATGATGATGATGATGATGATGATGATGATGATGATGATGATGATGATGATGATGATGATGATGATGATGATGATGATGATGATGATGATGATGATGATGATGATGATGGAGAGGAGGAGGAGGACGAGGAGGAGGAGGAGGAGGGAAAGGAGGAGCAGAAGGAGGAGGAGGAGGAGGAGGAGGAAAAGGAGGAGCAGGAGGATGAGGAGGAGGAGGAGGAGGGGGAGGAGGGGCAAGCCCTACCTGTCAGAACGCTATAAGCACAGCCTGACTCTGCACAGCGCGAAAAGTCCCACCTGTCCTTCCACCGTCCTCCCTCATCCCTCGGCACGGCGCTGGGGTAATGTAGCCTGGGGGGTGTCCACGAGGCTCTGGCCAAGTGGGCGCTCTCCGAGGCCTCGCCCCCGCGGGACCCGTAGTCTGCCCCAGGGCCACCAGCGAGCCTGCTCACTTCCGCCTCCTCCCTGTTCGCGTGGTCGTGTCGTCGGCTCACCGCCCGCCCCGCCCCCCCCCCTCCACGCCTCCAGTGAAGCACCCGCGGATGATCTCGGCCGTTGCCGCAGCCTAGCGCGGGGAAGGCGAAACAGGTGGGAGAACACGACGGGGAGGAGGAATAGGGGGATGATGATCGCCCGTACCTGGGGGGCAGCAGTCTGGCCGCACGCTTAGTTGTAAGTGGCGTTCACGGCAGCTGCTACATCGGCACCAGCTACACCGGCAGCTGCTACATCGGCAATAGGGGGATGATGATGATGCTGCTGCTGATGGTGAAGATTATGATAATTGATGATGAGGATGCTGATGATGATAATAAAGGTGATTATGATGATGATCAAGACTCACGTTGAAGACAAGGGACGAGAAGAGGGCAGGCGGACAAGAGGCGAGAAGAGGGCAAGACGCGAAGAGGGCGAGCGGACAAGAAGCGAGACGAGGGCAGAACACCGTCCAACGGCGACAAGCTAAGTCTGGAGGCGATCGGCTGGGCAGCGGCAGTGAACAAGTGCAGGCGTGGAATGCGAAAACAGAGACACGAGACACTTACGGCGGCGCAAGAGCTGACAAGCACGGGCATGCAACAGACGGAGGAAAAGAGCAGGACAGTATGAATCGCATGCACGCATTCTATGATACACAGAGGGGGCGAGCTCAATACCAACGACGATGTTACTGAGCTCCCCTGTGGTCCCCCATTCAAAGAGATGCGGCAGGAAACGCTTCCTGGAATCACCGAAAATATGAGACAGGCATACAAGGTAAGAGATGTGATGCAGCATTAACAAAGTGCGAGCAAGAAAAGTAGTGAGGGATGGCGTCGCAAGGGCTGGCCTTGCATCCAAACCGACAGTCGTCACGTGGCTGGCAATATCTAGCGGATGTAGCCCATCCATTACAGGCAGTCTTTAGAACGCTGGCGAGGACAAAGCAGGGCAACTGCGCGGATACCATAGTCATGCGGATGAGCATCAGAGTAGTGTCAAGTCGATCGATGCGGCAATCCTTCATCCAATAATTCATTCGGGCTTGCATATACGATGTCACGGAAGTCTCGCGCATATTCAATTGAGCAAGAACACGGTTCTGAAAATCCTTCCTCCACGGGTCATCGGGGACGCGTGGTAAACAGTTGAGCCGTCTCCAGTTATCATGTAACTGATAAAACATACTGTTGATGAATCTCGGATTGAACTCATGAGCAACCAACCAATTACTGCCCTCCAGAATATCATGCTATTCATCAATGAGCCTTTGGAAAACACCAGAGCGCCGAGCCAGACGATATTGTGCTGCAGCAGCATGCCGAGCAATATCAACCGCTTGCGCAGGGAAACCAAACTCCTTGAATCGATGCACAAGATCAAGGTGCAGAGAGTGACGAGGCCAGCCGATAACAGCTTGAAGGCCTTCACGCTGACACCGCCGAACCATCTCAGTCGGCGAGGGGAATTGTGCGACGTACGTGAGGACGCTCATAGCCAACACATTATAGCTAATTATTGTCTGTCTGAGACCAGCATTCAAATGTTTGCAGAAATATAATCGCAAACGGTATTTCTCTATCGGCAACCTCCAGGAATCGGCATAATCATTCAGCCCAATGCGAATGCCAAGGTATGTGCCCATGTCCACGAACTGCAAATTGGTGGCGATCAGGCCGGCGGACTTCAAGCGTTCGATGATCTGATTCCGGCCCCGAGGGAAGTGAGAGATAATCAGAGTCTTCAATGTGTTGATCACAAGACCAGTAGCATATCCACATGCAATTAGTAATCGGAAAAGCGTTGGAAGCGCGCCATGCAGATCCCTCGATACACGAGCCAGATCGTCTGCGAAACACTCAATGAACGATAGCGGCCGAGGAAGAATGGCACACGTACGACGGACCTCAGGACCCAGAGCCAAAGCGAATATCGAACCAAACATTGGGCGGCCCTGCTTAATCCCAGAGAGGACGGTGAAGCCCATGAGGACAGCCCCAGAATATACTATTGATGTACGAATACTGTTGTTGAGCGCGCGGATACTGTGCACAATGAATGCAGGCAATCCCACGGCCATAGGCACCCAGAAGATCCAGGAGTGAGCGAGGCTAGGAAAGGCCGTTTTGAAATCCACCAATGTAGCCCCACAGTCTCGACTGCCCTCTACATCGCCCCATGCCGACAGCGACGGAGAGACCTCCAAAATATTATCAGCCATCTGTCTACCCTTAACGAACCCCGTCTGAGCCCAGTCTACTGTATATTGTGCTTGTAGTGCAAGACCCGAGTCGATCGCGTGCGAGATCATTTTGATCGAGGTGTCAGATAGCGAAAGTGGACGGGTTGTAGCGGGTGTGCGTGCAATATCCATAGCTTCACTCGGGAGAATACTCTTAGGTAAGAATACCATGTAGCAGTGATTAAAATCAGCAGGCAGCTCGTCTCCTCCCAAAACACACGGGTAAACCTCGTAGAATACTTGACTAACACCATCGCCTCCGTAGTGATAGCATGAGAAAGGGGCGCCATCAGGACCAGGGGCGGCGTCGATCATTGTTCGAAGAATTTCTAGGAACGTGCCGAGAGAGATCTGCCAGCGAACGTCGCACGAAGCAGCTTGCACGAAAGGGCGATAGTGCCCCCACCCCTCCCTCCTCGCCTCCTTGGCCTCATGAACCTCCCCCCAATATGAAGCAAGCATAGCTGCGCCCGAAGCTTTATCAGGTGCTTCCTGACCGTCGGGGCCAATGACAGCGCACAGCGATAGCCGAAGATTGCGATCGGCCCAAGCATCGTGTAATCGTTGAAGCTTATCCTTCTGCTGAATTTTAAAGGTAACGTTGAGCGGCTCGTCGTTGCCGAGCTCGCTCTCCTGCGCGCGAAGGTGGGCGAGAGTGGCCGATCGCATAAAAGAGTGAAAGCCAGCGAGGTCATTCCAATTCATATATAATCTGATATGTACTGTCTAAACTCAGGCACTGCATGACGAGCTTTTCGAATAAAACGAAATTGAGAAGATTCCATAGCGCGCATCACCGCGAAGAACCAGCTGGCCTCCTCCTCTGGGTTCTCAGGACCATGAAAAGACAACTGGTCCTTAGTGGGGTCGGCGGCGTAGCGCATCGCATCTTTCAACAGACCTCATCTTGTCAAATGGGGGCTATGATGGCGGAAGATTCATCATAATCGCAGCCAGATTCTCAGCAAAAATAAGCTTGCGCACAACCCATGATGGAATGCGACGAGCTACTTTATCGCCAGAGGGCCGACCTGGTCGGAGCTGAAGATAGAGAGGAACGTGATCACTGGGCTCGTGCTAAGAAGTAACTTTCCACTGAACTCCCACACGTGGATGCCAATCACATATAGTACCCGTCGGAGCGTTCACCTATATATGTTGCCAATACGGGCGGCAGACACCAATCGCCCTTGTGGCGTTGTACGGTGCGTCGGGTAGTCTTGCTGGAACTCTAACATTCGACCGAAAAGTTTATCGAAACATATGCCCAACGAATCAGATTTGCGAATGCGATCGGTGTCGAGCGTGTAAAAGCGAGTGCCACCAGGCGACAGGCAATTGAAATCTCCAGACACAAGAGCGAGACCTCGCTCGAACGTTGGGATATGACGAGCCAACTTCGAGAACGCAAGCGTCTTAATTTTCATCAAATATTGTGGAGGAGCGTGAACATTGTAAATGAACATGGCGCCTCTGTCTCCACGTAACAACAAGACGTATTGACGACCAGTCGAGAGAGCCCGGAACTTGATTTCAGAAAAATCAGCCAGAAACGATTTGCGACTCATCGTAATAGTACCACCACTATGCGAGGGTAAGAAGCTCCCGCAACACTCAAACATGGGGAAATCAGCGCGCAGGGGGTGAAGACCACCCTCGTGACCATGCGTCTCCTGGAGAAGAATACATGTAGCACCACGAGCAATAGTATGCAATCGCTGCCACTTGAGATCCTGCCGCGAGGACTCACCACCAACGGCGGCGAAGAGAGTCTGGACGTTCCAGGTGTATAGTTTGAAACTTTGCTTGACTTCGTATGGAAGGGGACGCAGGTGTTGTACTTGGCAATCGAATTCAAACGTACAGTCGTCAGCAGAAGAGCCAGAAGAAGATGAGGAGGACGAGGAAGAAGACGAGACGTTCACTGCAGCATGAGATTGCTCGACGCCAACACCCCTCGCCGACGGAGCGACAAAATCGGGATTGTCTCGTCCATGCGACGAGCTCACCTCCTAATGCGAGGAAGCGAGGCTAGCAACGATGGTGGTGATGGCATGCAGGTCCATGCCAAGGGCCTGAATCTCGGACGGGTTGGGCGCGACATTGTAGCGGCCAAGAGAGTCAACCTCAGCCTTCAGCACGGGGAAAATTTCCTCTTGCTTGACGACCCAGGACTCATTCCTGAAACCGTCACCACTGCGCATATCCTGTGTCCACAGATTCTTGGCGATCAAATGCTGTTTGGTCGGGTCGTAGTACTTAGCAAGTGCCCGCTGACGAACACGAGCATCTTCAGGCAGATCCTGGCGGGCTTTGGTATAGAATTTTACCTGCGAGCGCGGATCCGACCACGTGGCACTGCTGCGATTAAACATGGTACGCAACTCTTTGGCAGCTTCTGCATTCTCAAACTTGACCATATAACTCTGGCTGGTGGAAGCGAAGTAGGTCCCCGTCCACGTACGATTCTCAACAGGAATTTGTGCCGCCATCTCATTATGCCATTTCTCACGCTGAGCACGAAGCACAGGGCGAGGCCATCCATTTATCCATACCTTAGAATCATCAGAATCTGCCGCGATAGTGCCCACAGCAGAGCCCAA